GGCTAGCCTTGGACCATGATTCTCATATCTGTACCTCCCATGTGTTTGCAGTTATACCTGGAGCTACCATGCCCTACTTACTTGTGGACATGTTACCTTGATAACTTTCTCAGGAGGCTGACCTCTACCCATGATCTTCCTGATCTCCATCCAAGCAGCTGCTAGGATTCTTGGTTCATTGTGGCCCATTAGCATGGCCCAGTCCTGAAGTGCTTAAATTATTAAACAATAACCTGTGAAGACTGAGAATCTAAGATCATTTTGGTTGTGATGAATAGCTAACAACCCGGTTCTGTGGCATGACACTGTCTCTACACCATTGTGATCTTATTCCAGAGTTTCCATATTGTTAAGGTAGATATCATCTCCTCTTGTGAAGGCCAGGGTCATGTCTATTGTCTTGGAAGTACTGTCTTTGAATTCTAAGAAAGCTTTGATGGTCATGTGGGGAAATTTTAAGTGGTGGGGGTGGAAAGTGAAGAACTTAGAAAACCATTCTCTATTGCCTTAGCTACTCAACTACATTTACAACTGGAATTTCTTCACTCTCCCCTACAGCACGTGTATTTACTCATGGTTCAAAATAGTGGCATTTTTGTTTAAAAGCAGATTTAAAAATCAAAATGTAAGTTGATGGCATTTCTTATTTCTCATGTTCTCTACACCTAAACCAAATGCCTCATTCTTTCTGCTGCTCTCCACCTAGAGCTGAGCATATTTGGAAGTAAGAACCATGACATGTGTGCTGAATGTGTTAATGAGGTCACTGGCCTTTGAAACATTTGTGCTTTGGGGAGACTAACTGGATGATTTCAGAAACCTATTTGGCAGAGCTGAGTACATTTAATTTGGAGATGGATACGATATTAACTGTTATTGGAACTAAGCAGGTTTTCTATTTTCTATCATGGTTTGGATGGGGATTTGGAAGCAACCGAAAGGCCCCTCAGCATGCATAAACTTGGGACTTCATCTGTTCTATCATGGGGCCTCCCTTTAGGGAAATTTAGTTTTTCCTGTTAAATATTTCAGCTGTTGATAGAGTCACAGTTCATATGTATATGACACGTTAAGGTTTTAGAGATGGCTATGCAAATATTGCCCCAGTTAGGGTAGGCTGGGCAGATACAGCAAAAGTGATCCCCATTTATATCTGTAGAGAAGAACACTGGGCCTTGATGTTATTGAATGAGATGCTTAAGATCACAAAGTGAGGAGATGATAGGTGCTGGCTGTCACAACTTGAAACTGTTTCCATTTTCCTGCCTTTTTGTGCTACTTAAGTTTATGCTACTTAAAGTATGACAGATAAAGGAGACAGATAAAGAGCCAGAAGATCTTGAACATTCCTTTAGATGTTGAATTAGTTACAAAGCAGAAATTAGTCTTATACCCAGGTTCTCTCCAGTTTTAAACTACGGTAGTATATATTTTAAATTGTGGGTGATTGTGAGGCTAAATCATAAGATAAGCCAGGAGGACTATGCAGTAGAATTTGGGATGGAAATAGTGGCTGACATTATCTCATTAGACACATTGGGCACAGACTAGGCCTCTGATCAATTTCATCATGGTCAAATGGATCAACTGCAGAACTGTCTTCAACAAATGCTAGCTTTGGGATATTTTTAGATTTAAAAAATACTGTAAAAAGGTTTGACCTTGTGTTGTGCGTAGTTTACATAATTTAATGTTTAGTTTTGTATTAACTAATTGTCCCTCGGGTACGGATTGTATAATTAAAGCCTAATTTACTTGGGTAATAAATGTAGAAGGAAATTTTCTTCATTTGATTTTTTTTCTTCCATTTTTCAGTATTAGCTTCAGTCATTCGTGCTACACGTGGTGATTGGTCGGTTCAAATTTGTCTGACCCTTTGCTATATATTGGGGGACAAAGCCAAGAACGGCACCATGGAAACTCTTCCTTGTCCCGGTAGGGATGGAATCGACTCACCTGAGAATAGTGGTGTAGGATGAGGTTGCCTGGCTGGAGAGGTAGCTTTGGTGGGGTCTACAGAAGGCATCTTTTACTGATTCCTCTCCTGATAATTTGGGGTAGAGTGGGCATTTTTTTTTTTTTTTCTGGTTGCACACAGGTCTTACCCTGGCTCACAGAGATCCCTAGTTCATAGAGGATTTACACGGAAAGATGTTAACGCATTATTGACACTAAAACTTACGGAGCAAATAATGATATATTACTGCAATTAACTAAAGCATTTTACATGAAGCATCCATCTGTGGTAAAACCACAAGAAAATCATGGCATAGGCTTCCCTTCATACCTGACAAGAGTTGGTGCCAGGAGCCTCTGTGGATACCAAAATCTGAGGTCATTTAAGTCTGTTACCTATCTCCATCTACCATGTCCATCTGTACTTTAAATCATATTCACAGGACTTGCAGTACATAATTCTGTGCAGATGCTATGTGATAATGTTTAGAGAAAAGTGAAAAAGCCTAAACTTTGTACATATTCAGGACAGATGAAAATAATTCCTTTTTGGTCTGATGTTTTTGCTCATTGGCTAGCACTCTACCAACTGAGCCATGCCTCCAACCTGGAATTTGTTTCTCTTTGGTATTTTTTAATGTGTGGTTAGTTGAAATCTGTGGATGTGGAACTGTATAGATTGAGGGCTGATTGTATTTTAAAATAGGAAAAGCTTATCAGGATCACACTTGGGTGTATATTGAAACACAATACAAGTTTAATCTCAGTATTGAAGCACTTGTGCATTCTTCCAAGAAATTGGAACAGATTGGGCCAGATATATTTAGAAGGCTAGGGAACAAACAAAAAACAAAACAATGAGATTTTTTTGATGAGATCAGGGTTTCTCAGATGACTTCTGTTTGTTGTTGCTTGTTTGGTGGTACTGGGTTTGAATTCAGGATTCTGTTACATTAGAACTAAGCTACCATCTCCCTCCTTGCTTTTCTTTAGTTGATTTTCAGATAGAATCACACATTTTTTGCCTAGGTCTCCTGAGTAATTGGAATTATAAATATGAGGCATTACACTAGTGGTGTCTTAGATGAGTTTTAAAGCTTGTCAAAGGGTACTGTATTGTGATTTCATAAACTTAAACTGAAGAATTGTACTCTGAATTCAAGAGAATATTTCTAGACTGTCACTATAATTTTTTTTTTTTTGGTCGGTCATGGGACTTGAACTCCGGGCCTGAGCATTGTCCCTAAGCTCTTCAGCTCAAGGCTAACACTCTGCCACTTAAGCTACAGCGCAACTTCATTGTCACTATAATATCGGTATGTCACATTGATTTTTTTTTTTCCTGGGCCTACGGCTTGAACTCAGGGTTTGAGTGCTGTCCCTGCGCTCTTTTGCTCAAGGCCAGTCTTTTACCACTGTGAGCCACAGCTCCACTGCTGGTTTTTGAGTAGCTAATTGGAGATTAAAGTCTCATGGGGACTCTCCTTACCTTGGCTGACTTTGAACCACGGTCCTCAGATCTCTGTCTCCTGAGTGGCTAGAATTACAGGGGTGAGCGACTGGTGTGACTGGTCACACTGATTTTTTTTTTTTTAAGTAGCATGTTGCAGTATATATTAGGGAGGCATATTTTGAGGGCAGAGAGGGAAGGAAAACCAACACTTCTGTGTTCTCCCCAAGGCTTAGTGGATGAGTGAGTGAATTCTGGCTCTGTTAAGATATATGGAGACACAGACAGGAGACTAGGCTCACTGCTATAGTGCATAGACATTGACACAGAATGGTGCCCCTAAGAACTTCCAGGGCATGGTCCCTCTTGAATCTAGTTCCAAACCAAAAGAAGGAAAAGGAACTGTGCCTAAGAAGCTGGCTCCACTTGAATGCCAAAGAAAATTTGCCTCATGGAATGGAAATTCTGAAGCATGTTATATAATGCCGAGCTATTAAATACACTTGTAAGATATATCCCATATGGAGCAAATAGTCTGCTATAATCTGAATTTTGCAGTCCAGGAACATTTAATTATATCGGGTGAAATGCAAGTGATCCTGGAAATTTGAGACTCTTGACAAATCCAATCTATATTGACTTAAATTTTTATTTGTTTTAAGATGTGCTATAAGAATTTACCTCACAGAGTTTAGAAAATTTACTTGAGTATTGATTGGCCAACACAGAGCTATCAATATATTCATATTAATTCTTCTGCACATTTATAACAGTTTTAAACAGGGGGGAAAACATTTCCAGAGTAAAACAGCATTAAAAAAGAATTCTTAATTGCTCAGAAAAAAATGGAGCCAAATTGTTAGAGTTTGAGTATTTGCGATTTCTCATTCGAGAATTCACACATAAACTGAGTTTGGCATTTTCTCTTTTCTGTCTCATGCTATGTTTTCATTTCTCGCTCACCTAGGACTCCTGCACTTGTATGCCTAGAATATTTCTGTAGTGTCACAACTGGCATTCCTTCCTCTGTTTTCTCACATCCCCCCTCTGCCCCCTGGCCTTTAACTCTGAGCCTGGACACTGTCCCTAAATTCCTCTTGCTCAAGGCTAGCACTCTACCACTTGAGCCTCAGTGCCACTTCTGGTTTATGAGTAGTTAATTGGAGATTAGAGTCTCAAGGATTTTCCTACCTGAACTAGCTTCAGATCACGACCTTTTGATCTCACCCTCCTGAGTAACTACGTTTACAGGCGTGAGCCACCATCTCATTCCTGCCTTGCCTGCTTCCTGGCTGTGAAAAAACAAGCCATAACCAAACAGTATACTACTGTTTGATTGACTATTACTTTTACTTTTTCATTCCACTCATCAAGAGCTTCATTAACTATACAATTAAGAATTTGCTTCCCTTTTTGAGTGCTTTCTTTCTTTCTTTTTTTTTTTTTTGGTGGTCATGGGACTTGAACTCTAGGCCTGGGCGCTGTCCCTGAGCTCTTCAGTTCAAAGCAAGCCACAGCACCACTTGCTTCCCTTTTTAACAATAGAAGATTGTCAACTTGTAGCATTTAAACTTAGCCTATCTTTGTCTTTCAGGATCCATGTGACGCCAGAATCAAATGGATGAATGAATATCCCTATGAAGAGAAAAACAATAAAGGTTGGTTATTCGAACTGTATAATTGCATTGCAGGTATTACCCTGTAGAAAAGGTTCTGTTGGGAAGTTATTCACATTAAAACATTTCTTTGACTGATTAGATGAGATACTGGTCAATCCTGGTACACATACATCTATCTATAAAATACAATTTTTCTGGGGCTGGGAAGGTGGCTCAGTGGTAGCGCGATTGCCTTGCATACATGAGGCCCTGGGTTCGATTCCTCAGCACCACATAAGCAAAAAGAAAAAAGCCAGAAGTGGCACTGTGGCTCAAGTGGTAGAGCGCTAGCCTTGAGCTGAAGAGCTGAGGGACAGCACCCAGGCCCAGAGTTCAGGCCCCACGACCGCCCGCCCCCTCCCCCGTCCCCGCCCCCGCCCCCCCCCCCCCAAAAAAAATACAATTTTTCTTTTTTGACACCTTAACTTTAATATCTTAAGAAGGCAGCCAGCAAATGCAACTGTCATTCTTTTCTAGGACTTTTATTTAATGTTGTAGTTACAGAAGGGTGGAGATCACTGAATAGCATCATATGCTGTTGCAGAAGAGAGTGGAGCAGAGGGGATGAATGGAACTGTGGTGGAGGTAGTGAATTTGTTCATCATAGGACATGTATGGAATATCACAATGTAACCTCATATTTATGTTAATTCAAAATTAAAACAATAAATGCACATTAAAGAAAATCATAGCTGGGGGCTGGGGGCACATGCCTGTAATCCTAGCTACTCTGGAGGCTGATATGATAGGATCTTGGTTGGAAGCCAGCTGGGGGAGCAAAGTCCCCTGAGGTTCTTATCGCCAAATAACCACTTAAAACCTGACAGTGGAACTGTTGCTCAAAGTGGTACAGTAGTAGTAGTCTTAAGCAAAATATCTGAGGGACAGTGCCCAGGCCTTGAGTTCAAGCCCCAGGACCATTAAAAAGAAAGAGAGAGAGAGAGAGAGAAAGAAAGAAAGAAAGAAAGAAAGAAAGAAAGAAAGAAAGAAAGAAAGAAAGAAAGAAAGAAAGAAAGAAAGAAAGAAATCATTAGCTGGGTGCTGGTGGCTTATACCTGTAATCCTAGCTTCTCAGGAGGCTAAGATCTGAGGATTGTGGTTTGAAGCTCGTCCAGGCAGGAGAGTCCCTGAGACCTTTATCTCCAATTAACCACTAGAAAACCAGAAATGGCTCTATGGCTCCAACCAGAGAGCTCAGGGACAGTGCCTAGGCTTGAGTTTAAGCCCTAGGACTGTTTAAAAAAATCATTAGAGAAATGGAAAGCCACTTAATGACACCTGATGACTGGTCCCAATAAAAAGCCATATATTACAAGGGAGGAGGCAACAATGCTTGATAAGAAATGTACGCATTACCTTGCTCATGTAATTGTAACTCCTCTGTACAGTATTTTCACAATAAAAAATTTTAAAAAGCCAGATATTGTATAATAAACACCAGCTCCTCAGATAATAACCCTAAAACTCATCTGACATCCTGTGTGGTTGCTGGCCTGTTTTGTTCTACATGCTTCTGTAGGTTTAGCTTTCCCCTGAGGAACCGAGAGACCCTCTTCTCCACGCCGCGTTCGCAGAGTCATGGGCAGTTCTCAATTAGAGGAGACAGAACTCTGAGAATATTGGTAGTAATGCATTTCTGGGCATTGCTTTATTTGTGGTAGTTGTTTGTGTTCTTCTTGTACCTCATAGTTGATAAACTATAGAAATCATAGGTAATACCAAGGAAATTACCTACATTCTCTAAAGCTTTTACATTGGACAGGTCTGGTGCAAAAAAAAAAAATGTGCTCCTGACTACACAGTACATCTAATTTCCAGGTTCTGTCCCCACTTATTCTCATGACGTTCAAGCACATGTACATCACACCACGTCTTTCTGCCGGCCTAATAGTTGCTTACGAATGGATTTTCTCTACTGTCGCTTCCACTTGAAATCGCTGCCTTCCATCCTTGCCGCTGTGTTTCTGCTTTCTATTGCTTGTCCCTGCCAAATGTTCAGAGGGATTATCAGCGCAGAGATGGTACCAGGAAACTAAATGGGATCTGGAACAGTTTCCCTTTATGACCTTAGTCGTGTCTTTGGGGGTGCATTTGCATTTTGAGGCCAAGTGTTCAGCATCCTTTTGTGTTCATGTGCTAGTATGCCTGTTGGCTATGGAGATGAGGATGGGAAATGGGAAACCTAGTTTTTGGCATATTTTCCTGGTGTAAATACTGTGGTTGACTTCAGTGGTTCATTTGTTAACTTGCTTGCAAGATTCTTTAAAATTTAACAATCGACATTTATGAGCTGGAGGTAAAGGAGCTCAGCATATCCTGAAGATTGTTTACAAAGTAAAGTCAACATTATGTGTTCCTTAAAGTTAGTGGGACTTGCCTTACTTCATCTTTGTATCAATATGGAAATGCTCTGCATGGATAATCACACTTAGCCCTCTCTTTAATAAGTGGTGGTGATGTAGTTATTGCTTTGTTTACCTTCGGTGGTCTTTAAATTATTAAATTATTATATATCAATGAATTCATGTTCGCTTTGTAAAATTACATAAATGCTCACAGTGTTACTGTTCTGTAACTAATTTCAGTGTAAAATCCATGATGACGTCAGGGACAATCTGGTTGTTAGAGTGTACCCTGAAGAAATACTGTGGTTGGCTAGAGTGTATTATGTGTGAATTGTCCTCCTTCTCCCTCCATCTCTCCTTTTCTTCTCTTGTGTACTCTCTCTCCCTTTCTTCTTTTGTGTACCAGCCCTTCTATTGTGTGCCAGTACTGGTGCTTTAACTCAGGGTTTGGGTGCTGCCTTTAAATTTTTATTTTTTTGCCCAGGTCTGGCACTCTACCAGTTTAACCATAGCTCTACTTCTGGCTTTTTTTTTTTTTTTTTGAGACTCATAGATTTTTAATACCTGGTCTGGTTGCAAACCTCTCAGATCTAGCTTCCTGATTGGTTAGGATTACAGGTGTGATTCTTTCTGCCTCACAGATAATTGCTTATGACTTCCAATTTCTTATCATGGTAGTAGCAGCTAGAATTTCACTTCATGTGTTTGTTTCACTGAGCATTTTATTAAAATAATTTTCATCCTTACCTTTAGTTGTGATTTCCTTTGAACAGAGGATAATACATAATGCACTGATGCTTCATTTTAAGTCTGTTTTAATCTGCTGCTGTTTTTACCAAGTCTGATTCAGAGAGAAAATAGTAGAGATTAAAATTTTATATTTTTATAGTTTCTGAGTAGTTTTTTGGTTGTTGTTAGTGTTGCTGAGGTTTGAACACAGCACTTGCTAAGTTTTGTTCCAGTCACTGGACTCCAGTCCCAGGTTTTGCTGATTATTTTTGAGATTTTTTTTTTCCAAATATGATCCTTCTACTATACGCCTCTCAAGTAGTACATTGAAAAGGTCAGAATTAAAATAAAGTTTAAAACCTGCCAACAGTGGAAACAATATTAACATATTCTTCCTAGATTAAAAGGGATGTGATTATGAATCATACCACTTTGAGACCTTGCTAGCTTGTTAGCAGATAAAAATCTTGCTGAGAGCCACAGGGTATCATGGGTGTGCCTTTATGCTTAGATTTTAAGATACAAATAATCAATTTGAGATTTATAAACATTTCATTGTGTCAGAGAGTCTGACTTGCAAGAGTTGTCTTTATCTGCTTTTTTATTTTTTTATTTAAAAAGTGTGTGTTAGTCACTAGTGGCTCATTCCTATAATCCTAGCTCAAGAGGCTGAGGTCTGAGGATCTTAGTTCAAAACCAGTCTGAGCGGGAAAGTTGTAGAGATTCTTATCATCAGTTAACTAGCAGAAATGCTTGATTGGAGGTGTGGCCCAAGTGATGGAGCTCCAATTAAGAGCAAAAATGCTAAGCAAGAGAACAAATTTCCATTTGAACTACCACCACCCTCCTATACACATACACTCCATTTGTATTAGGTTCTTTCTTTACTCAGTTTTATTGCACTATACTTTTTCCTTTTACCATGTGTTATGTGAAAACATCATATAAATTCCAAAAATTCCTTCATGTTTCTTGTTCACAAACAGTAGCATAAACAGAATAGCTCAATAGCTATGCACATATGACCATATAAGATAATGCCAAGCAAAAGAGGTTTTTCTTTGTTGTTGTTGGTTTTCTCATGATTTCTTTTTTTTCTTTTGTGGCCCCCCCCCCCCCCCAACCATGGTTTATTCCCTGTTGTCACTGTTGTCATTTGATTTTGGTACCCTGGGTATATATACATTTTTCTGAACTAGGGAAGGGAACAGGAACAACAAAATGGTGAGACAAAGGACAATGGGGAAACCTATGCAACAGTGTTACTCAAGACAATATGTTGGAAATGATTTGTACAACTTGGAGGAGGGGTTGGGGGGGAGGGAAAGAGAAAAATGGGGGAGGGGGTAAACAGACAAGAAATGTCTGTTACATAAGTAAGATTACTTATGTAACTGTAACCCCCTTGACAATAAAATTTAAAATAATAATAACAACAACAAACCTGGTGACATAATTCTAACTCATGTCAGCAGTTGCTGTTAGAATGGTGCTGTGTTGGGGACCTGGCTGCCGGCTCTGCTTCCTTGGCTTTCCTTGCCATTTCATCTGTTTTCTCAGTGCTTCTCAGCAGCTGGCTTGGAGCAGATGTTCAGAACATAGACATGCAAACACATCAGACCAGTTTGTCAGAGTTGACATTAAAACTGTTGCTCTGTGATTACATCTGATAAACATTTTAAACCACTTGGCATTTTTCAGTGGGGGTGGTTTTTCACTTTTTTTTTTCTATTTGGAAACTAGAAGAACCATAGCAAACCCTTCTGAAAGTGCTCCATTCCATACCCAGAAAGCTTTGTTGTGTTGTGGTAGGTGTGCAGTGTGCTGACTTTCACTTGCTTCCTATGATGTCCTGAAGTGTACTAGTTACACGACCTCAGAAGATGTGACCACTGCCATTCAGCTTTCCTTCCATTTTGAAATAGT